ACATTCAGTTGAAGGATAATCTTACATATGAAACTATTCCTTTAAGGATTAAAGATATGAGAGTGAAATAGTTGAGAGGTAAGGAAATTCCTTTAGTCAAGGTTGTTTGGGAAGGAAATACTGAAGAAAGTTCTATTTGGGAGCTGAATGGTCAAATGTGGAAAATATATCCTTATTTGTTTGCTTTAGGTAATTTTGGGGACAAAATTCTAAAAAGGAGGGGAGAATTATAACACCCCAAATTTTCTATTAATATATTTATTTAATTAGTAATTATTTTGAATATTTATTTGGGTTATTTTTAATAATTGTTTTAGTTATTTTATACACTTAGATGTATTATATGGTTTTATAATTAAATGATTTATTTTATTATTTGAGAGAAGGGTTTTGTAACTAGTGTTAATTGTTTCAACTATTGGATTAGTGAAGAGTTAAGTTTTAAAAAGGAAAATTTGAGTCATTTTCATTTTTACGCTTCTCTAGTATTTCATTCTTGTATGCTTGCACTATGAAGAACTAGGAGAATCAGAGTTTGTGGGAGATCACCTTAAAGATCCACATCTTACGTCTAAGGTTTATCAAGGTAAGAGGAAAAATAAGTAGTCTCGTTCTACGTGTGGGATGTATGTTGAGTACCTTCCCTTCTCTATTGCATGTTTATGAGGGGAATTTCCCAAATTTGTGTGTCTCTTACTTGTTTGTCTTCCCCATGACTCTTCAGTGTTATAATCAATGTTGTTAACATGCTTATATAATTAATTTCATGTTTTGGATTAATCTTGTGAATCTTGGGTTACCCATAATTTTCTGTGAGAATCCTAAGTGGATGAATTAGGTAATTGCCTGAGGAGATATTGTATGAGTATGTAATTGGTATGTGTAACTTTTGCCTTTCAGAAGTATAACATAATGTTAGAACACTTTTACCAAGTGAATTGTAAGAAATTGATGTTTGGAGTTGTGGTTTATGATTCATGTTTCGACAAGATGTATGGCTTTTAATATGACCCTAGGCACCACCTTGGGCTCATTGAGCGTCGTCGAGGTTGAGAGCAATGATTGCTCTCGGGGCTTCTCACACTGGGTGTGGAATGAACTTCACTGGAATAGAAGCTCCAGGGGCTTCCTTGTGACACTTTTTCTGGGTGTAAAGCTAGTCATGCAGGGCGAGGAACGTGTGTCATTGGGTGCCATTCTATAATTCACGTTTTCTTCATTCGTAATCAGTATGTGTGGTTGTGATTAGAACCCTTGTGCTACATATTGGTAATGTCTATTTGATGTTTTTTAGTCTGCTAATATCATGATTAAGAACCATGGGTGAATGGAATGATGTGTTGTGTTTTGTTTTGTATCTTGATGTGATGAGAAGTCTAAGCAAGGCTTAGCTATGATGTGATTATATGATGAAAAAAATGGATATACAATGATGAAGTGTATTGTTGTAATGTGATAATGCATCGAGTCATGTTTGACATGCATCATATCCATACTTATTTTTTTATGAGTACGATATGGAGTACACCACCAGGGAAAATCCCCTTGTGTGGAAGTCTGGGGATCAATTCTTGGGGATAGTTGGGTTCAAGAAACCCTGATTTTGCCCATTGTGTACATGGGACAGAACTTGCATGACATAGTTGTCATGAGTAAACGTTGGTTGTATGTCTTTCTAGTGTAGAACGTGATAAAGGTGTGATCCAACATAAACTTCAAGCCACCCAGTGTGTTGTTTTATGGTAATACACCATGCAATTTGACTGGTGCCACATGCATGAGTATATGTAGTTTGTGTGCATTGCATTATGCATGTGAATGAATCAATGAGTTATGAATCGTATTAGATCTTGTTGTTGTAAAATAAATTGTGTTATTACTATGTTGCTACTATAGTTTAATTGTTCATTGTATTGTTAAGTGTGTTTGACTATCCGGTTATATTCTATATCGTGAGTCAAAGTGAATTGTTTCTCATTCCCTATTTCTTGCATTTGTTCTATTTGAATGTTGTTGAAAGTAAGATTCATCATGACATTGATGATGTCAATGGTGAGGTCTAATCTTTGCTTTGGAAATTTGTTCTGATAGGATGTAACATTGAGACTTAGTTAAGATTTATTTTTTCCCTATGCTTTTAGGATAATTGTTATTGTAATGTATTAGGTTTCATTTAAACTTTAGTTGGTTATTGCTTAGTTAAAGTGTGACACTCTCTATGTTGGACAACATGAGCTTCATTAATGATAGACTCTTTTTGATTCAGTTTTACTTATTGTATTAGTATGGTATGCGGGTAGATGGTGTCACAATATCTACCCACACCCAATTACTCCATTTATCTATTCTTGGCCATGCAACTTTACTGAAAATCCTCTCTAGCGACGACATCTGTGACACCTTCTACCCCATTAGCCATCATATATAATTAATCATAAAGCAATAAAAAACTTTTTGAATAAAACTTTGTTCATAAACATTACAAAAGGTTTGTAAGAGAAACTCCAAGGGTAGAGGACTCACATTGTTTTGTAAACTTCAAACAAATTCTAGAAAAGGTAACTAATACAAAAACCAAAACAAAATAAAGTCAAGTGGCTACCCGAAAGCCATAACAAAAACTCAAAGGATTAACAAGCTTTCTAAAATAATTAGACAAGACATCAAAACAAAAAAAAACAATTTTAAATAATGTCCAATGTCACATCCTATCAGAGCTCCACCCACAAGTATACTACAAAACCTAAGCCTTTTCATCGACATCATCATGAAGATAATTCCCACATGGAAAATACACATAGAGCACAACAAATAACAAGGGAATGAGAAACGTCTCACTCTAGCTACTAGTGTGAGATAGAGCTCAATATAAAATACTTTTATGATTATCCGTCAATTTGAATTAATGAAATGGAGTATCAAATAGTTTTCAAATTTTTAAAAATTTTCATACTTGATTTATTTATTAAAATTTTTTAATTTAATAGTTGGATCATTAAAATTTAATATAGAATATGTGTTATTGTGGAGAAAAGATAAACACTAGAAAGGAGTTGAATATTGTGTATCAAAACTCGCACGCTTTTCATAGTGAAATACTAACTCTAGTCAAATGAAGTGCGAAGAGCAATCAAATGAAATATTGGGTATTTTTATATTGGTTCATCTCAACCATCGAGACTACGTTTAGTTCTCAATCTAACTAGATTGAGTTGCACTATCTTTAAACAAGATACAAATATTCTTTCAACAAGCCACCTCTAGCTTAACCTTGAGTATTTTTTGACTTGCCTCTTTAAGAAAATATCCAAGTATTCTCTTAACAACAAGCCTCTCTAGGCTTAATAACCAAATATTCTTTTACAATCAAGCCTCTCTAGGCTCAAAACAAGTAATTTTTTTTCATACAAGCTTCTCTAGGCTCAACCTTATAACAATGATTATGAAGGTTACACAAGTGTTGTGTCCGTTTCACTTAGATGTTATAAAACCAGTATAGGACATTAAGTGTTTACAAGAAAGAATAAATTTACAGAGTATGTTTATGTACAATTGTATCTACATGTTTGTTCTCTCTCTTCTCTTCTTTTCTTTCTTGAGTTTTGAATCTTTTTATATAGTAGCTTGGAGAAGATGATCATTACAATACTTTAAGTCCAGCTCACAAGTTTGTTTTTCCTGTCTTCATTGTCTTTTCTTGTGATGGTAGGTAACCGTTCGGATCATTTAATGCGAGCATTAAATGTATTTCACCAAATGGTACCTTTTATCTTATCAATAAGGCTACTTATCAACTTCTCATACCAAATGGAACTTGTAGAAGTAATGTCAATGTAATGCAACAACAAGAGTGACTTTATTTGCTTTTATCCATGACTTTAAGGATCTTTGTCCCTAGACATGATGAAAAGTATAATCATATTCTCTTTAACAGATTTGTGAGTTTCCAAGATAATCTTCTAGTTTGATCTATTAAGAAATGAAACATTCAAGAAGCTTTTGTTATTAGTCTCAATAATAATAAGCATTTAATGTATATGAGACAAAATGTATACTTCGTCTAATTTACATCGTCTTATAAACAATCTGCATCTTACACTTTGTCTGATAAGTATTTTCAAAGATATTTTTGAAGATGTTTTTAAAGACATTTTCTCTTATAAAAAATGTTTTGTTTGTTAGCATTAAAATTCTAAACTCAAAGGATCTAAAATCATTTTTTGACTAAACAGTTATTAAGTTGAGCAAGTCTGAGTAGATTTACTCTTGGAGTAAGTGAATTTCTCCTTATATATATAATTCATTTTATGTTAGTCACATCTTCATTGGTTCTATAACTGATGTAGAAGGTTCAAAATAACCAAATAGTAGAGCCTTTAAAGATTGTTGTAGCAAATCCTTCAAGTTGTTCTTACTTCTTACTGATTTGCTTCATTTTTTTTTCCTCATATATGGGAGTGTTTGTTGGCACCATTAATGTTTTTAATTAATGTTTTTCACAAAATAGTCACTTCTTATAGTATATGAGCACTTTTTATCAAGGAGCAAGTTTTTTCTTCTTCTATTTGAAATTTATTCTACTTCCTTAAAGATTTCGTTGATCCCAAAGAAACTTGAGTTTTTTTTTTATTAGCCAGCAAATATTTATATAAATATATATGAAGGTACAAGGAATACCAAAACTCATAAACATGAGATAACTAAAAGATTGTATCACCCTTGGTTAAAACTAATTTAAATTTGTGTAGTGTCAAATTATGTTGTAACTAGGGGTTCCAAAAATACAAATAACAGTTTAGATACAAATAAGAACCTAGCACCCACTAATTATAATAGTACAAACACACAATAAAATACATGATCAAACCCACTTCCCAACTTAAAACATTGTAGAAGGCATTCCTCCCTCCCCGCTGAAAAACCCCCACCAAGACTCAGTCCTTTGTATTTTCCCAGTAATCAAAAGTAGAATAAGATACCATATTTTATAACTTAAAGAAACAAGTTTTGCCTCTCCTACCCTTCGACCTGCATAGATCTCCTAAGACATAATCTATATTCAAAACATAATCTATATTGTTGTTTTATAGAAAATGTATGATTTGTTTATAAAGTGTTTGGTCTTACCATGTTCAAAAACATTTTTTTTATTATTAAAACTTAAGCTTTAAGAATTTTAATTCATCGTCTTTTGTTACTATCGCCGTTGTCAAAGCTCTCCACTTCAAAGGTAAAATCATTCGCTAGTGCCATATGTCTTCAACATTAAGTTAAAGGTGGATTCGATTCGTACACAATGTGTTGTTTTTTTGTCTTAGGATTTGGCTCACAAATAGGAAAATTTCAATCATCTTGAATCATATTATAAAAGTGAAGTAAAATTTTAATAGACGTGGTACTCTTTGATTGGATTGAGAACTAATTTTTCTAAAACAACATTCTTTATATATATTTATAGGGGTACCATAGTCACTCCCCTAATCAATGTCCGAAGAGACAATGAAACCTTGGAATGACAATCTTTGGAAGTTTTGATTCTAAAGGACTACTTCACCATTATTTTTGAACAACATATCATCCAAGAAAGCAATCCACCTCGCGACCATTTTCGCTCAACCAAAGGAGTAGTGTGACTATGCACTGCATTGACTAGGTATTCTGCAAGATAAAATTATAAGACTCAAAATGAAGAAAGAAAAACAAGAGAAAATATATTCATACACCAACATGTACAAATCATAAAAATAAGATAAAGATAAAAATGTAAAATAAGATGCGATGGAGAGATAAAGAATAAAAAGAGTATATAAGTTGATACAATTTTGTGATTAGGGGAATACATATTTTTAACCCACGTACCTTTTTTGTAGTGATAGACCGGTAATACTCTCTTAAATCTATTTCACTTAAAAGGAGCGAATATGATTGAGGAATTTTGGCCACCAAAACCAAACGAATTAGACATGGCAACCTTGATATCTAGTCTCTCTTTCTTAGAGCTGACAAGAACATTGGTATCCTGAATTTTGTTTTCAATTTAACAAATTAGATAGATTTGATGGACCTTGTAAATGACAGGACACAACATATTTCAAAACAAAGGAGAAAATGATGAGACAAGAATGATACCACTCCTTCATCTGGGTTTTCTAGATTGATATTAGGATGAACCCACCCTGTCTTTATTGCCTGTGTAGAAGTAATTAAAAAACCTCAACATTTTTTTCATAACACTTTGAAGTCTAGAAAAATATTTTGAAATGAAAAGTTCATTAAGGACATGTTTAAGCAAACTTTTCCAGAAACATTGATAAGAGAAATAAAATAGAAAAAAAAAAGGGAAATAAATTCCTCTTTAAGTTAAAATTACTTTATGAAAAAATTAAAAAATAAATTTTAAAAAAACTAATATAAGAAAACTTTTACAAATTAGTTTATACATATATTAGTTAATTTTAACATATTAAGAAGCTTATTTCATTTTTTTTTTCATATTTTCTTCATATAATAATACTTTTAGAAAAGTTTATATGTAAAAAATAAAAAAATTATAAATAAAAAAAACCCTTATTAGATGTTACCTGTATTGTTGCTACGGCTTCCACCCCACCAGCTGCCCCCAATAGATGACCAACCATAGATTTCGTTGAATTTATTCTTAGCTACACAAACAAAAGATATGGTAACTTGCAAGTATAACAATTTCAAAAGCAGTCGCAAAACTTGAAATAGATGAAGGCTGAATATTTGAATTTCATTTAAATTGATTAGCAAGAATATATTAATACCAACCATTACCTTTCGTTTGGTTTAGAGTTTTGCTTAGTTAGATCCACAACCACCTTAAGCAGTTTATCCTAAGTTTTATTTCTATTTTTTTTAGAGTTTGTTGCAAACAAATTGTTTTCGCTATAAAGTCCTCCTTCTTACCTTTTCTTTTCTTTGTTTTCATGTTGCAGGATAAATTTTTACAGTAGATTGAACTTTTTGTTTCTCCATTTCATCCCATTCAGTGGTGGAAAATGCTTGTTTCCCTTGTTGACGAGTTTCATGTGTGCAAATTTTGATGTTTTTCACTGTTAAATTTGGATGATTGAAGTTTTGAAAATTTTTTTAGTGAGTTGAAGTTTTTGGATTCCTAATTAACATACTTTGGAGGTTTTATTTTTTTTAGCCTTGTTTCATTTAGATTCATTTTCTGCATTTAGAAGCATAGTAAAAACTAAATCACAAATTCATTATAATTATATTTTGTTCTTTTATACTGTATATAAGCCAAAGTTATAGTTTGTCTAATGTTTTTCATTATTTTATAGCTTTAATCTAAACCACAATAAAATCTTTAACATTAGGAGTTTTGCAAAAATTACTCCTTCAATTCGTTTAATGAAAAGAAAAAGGGAAATTGGGTAATCAAGTGTAACCAGGGATCCATTTTATGAATTTAAATGGTTATGAATTTGTATTTATTAACCCTTTAGAAAATCATAAAAGTAATAAGGAGAAAATTTTAAATTTATAATTATAGGTATAATTAAAATACAGATATTATTTGACTTAAGGACTATTGAGAATAAATTTTTTTAAGTTAACAAAATCTATAATTGTGGCCCATCTTTCATTTTAAAATATTTTAATGTGAAAAAAACTTGGACAAAAAGTTAAATAAAAAGCCCTAAAAGAAAATTCAAACCGTTAGAATTCGTTCGACCTGCTCAACCCACAACCCGTCCAAATCAATAGCATAATTAATCAGAGATGGTTTTAAATTTAAAGTCATCAAGTTGGCTCAAATTGGGTGTTTTGGACTCAAATCCAACCGAACCTAACCGCTGCTCAACCCTATTGTCCATATTTTAGATAGTTTTTTCAATCAATATTTGGCTTATTTGGGTTGCCTAGTTGAGCTCTATCTAGTCTAAGGTAATAGGATTTCTTCACTCATAAATATTAATTTGGTCAAACCACTAGTTGATATGAGATCTCCAACACACTTCTCTCACACTGAGGATTGGATATCTCTAGTGTAAAGTTTGTAAGACTGGATATCTGCAACTTATCTGGTAATAGCCCAATAGTAGGTGGTTTGATAAGATCAACAACACTTGCTAGGATAATAATGATAGAGGCATGGTCAAGGTAATTCTTATCACTGGGACTATGACTAGGAAGATATAGGAGGATTGAACTTATATTTAGGGTTTAGGGTTTAAGACATGGTAAAGGTTCTTATCACTGGGACTATGACTAGGAAGATATAGGAGGATTGAACTTATATTGAGGTTAGTGGGTCTAAACTCATCTTGAGCTATAGGCTACTAAATTTTTAAGTCCAATACTTCTCACATGTTTGTATATATTTTATTTGGGCCTTGTATTGTGAGCCTTGTAGTCTAGTTGTTTTAGGCTTTGTATTTTGGACCTAGTAATATAGGAATTTCATTGTATTTCCTTCTTTTGTGTATTTTAATTGGGTTTAGGAGTTACGAATTTCATTTGGTCCTAGAAGTCACATTTGAAATTGATTTGGCCGGCTATATGTGATTAGTCATATGGGAGTCACACATGATCTTGCCTAAATCAAACTAAAATGCAACTTACATGGAATGCAAATGAGATTCTAACTACCTTAGATCTAGAAGCACATGGGTGCACACAGGTTAATCTTAGTATTGGCCAAATTTGAATTGTAAATTCAAAATTGGTGCCTAGATTAACCAATGTTAGGCTACCATGGTTCTTTTGATCCTTGGTTAACCTAGCTTGCTCCATAAGTTTCCAAGGCCTATATAAGTCTTTTAGCTCATTGAATGTGTCGGCTTTTGAGTATATGAGAATTACATTTCTGAATTCTATCTTAAATTTCTCTCAAAGTCTCTTAGGAGAATTCTCTCTTAGAGCACTTTCATCAAGGAAACCCTCCTTGTGACAAGTGCAACACATTCTTGCTTATCTCTTTTTTGAAGAGTGGCGTGCCCTCCATTCCTTTGTCCACCACATTTGGCTTGATTCTTTGATGATGTTAATTGTAGACACCTAATTTTGTTCGGACCCACAAAAGTAATGAAATGGACATCTATTATCAAGGAAAGGAACTCCCGAAGCACGGAAATAACAGGACATGACATCAGAAGGCCTAAAGCCCAAAAAAGTTGGTTTTAGTAGCCCGGAACGGGCTGTTCCAAAACCGGAACGGGCCATTCCCAAGTTGGAACGGGCCATTCCCAAACTAGAACGGGTCGTTCCAAGTTACAAAAAAGGTCTAAAACCCTAGTTTGGAACTGATCGTTCCAGCATAGGCAGTTATGTGTTAAACTCAACTCTGGAACGGGCCATTCTGGTTTCAGAACGGGCCGTTCCAAGATACGAAATTAACACATAACGTACAGATTTAGAACGAGTCGTTCTGAATTTGGAACGGGCCGTTCTGACAACTTTTTGATGTCTATAAATAGCATACTCGGGCACAGTGCCAGGGGCCACAAAATTTCGTCTAAGACTCCTTAGAGCTCGAAATTTCTCTCTCTCTCTCTCCCTCCTATTGTATTTTGTGAAAGGTAGCCAAAAAGCGTCTAAAAGTCTCCATAGTTAAAGATCTAATAAAGCTTGCTACGAGGTATTTCTCATCAATCTCTTGCTCCAACTTTCACTTCTTCTATTTTAAATATTGTTATAATAAAAGCAAATATGTGGACATTTTAGGGTCAATCGCTTAATTTAAATTTAGGCATGTAAATAACCATTCATAAGGGGGATTAAGTATTTATATTATTATTTTTACTATGCTAACTTCATAATAAGGGTATTGATAAAGGGCGTTGTAGGGGTGCTTAATACCTTCCCTACACACGTAACCGACCCCCAAATCCAATTTTAGTTATCAAGGTCATTATTGGACTTTTAAAAACCTTTTCTTTTTCTAATATTTTGAGTAAAACATTGGTGGCGACTCCATGAACCTTTTTTCAAAATCATTAATTAAGGATTAATCTGGTGTCCGGACATTCCTTAATTGATGAGATTTTCGAAATGATGTCTAAACCATTAGTCGTGAGATAAAAAATTTTTGGGTTGCGACATTGATCCATGGAAGAAGATTGAGAAGCTTGGATGGATCTTGAGGAAATCTAGAAACCATTTCACCAGGGAATTTCCATCAAATAAGCTTTGATACCATGTTAAGAAAGTGGATTAAAACCTAACTGAACCCTATATAATCGACTCATAAGGTAAGAATTGATCCATATTTATATACACTAATTTGATCATATCACTATTCAATATAGAATCTGTAACAATTTGTACTCAAAATCTTAAATTAGTCATTCAATCTCTACTTGCTCAATTTTCGATTATGTGCACTAAGTAGTTAGATATTAGCCAAGTACCACAACTTTCCTAGAGGCACAATCTAGCCTTGTACTAATCATCATAGTGAATTAGTCTAGCCTTACAAGTCTTAAAAATCATCCTCGTTCTACCATATATTCTACGTCTTCAAATTATAGTTCAGTTTTCCTTTTCTAAATAGGTACATTTTATGATAAAATGGGTCATCTATCTTTAATAAAAATTGTTAATTAAGTTCTTAAATATAAGAATCAATTCTTGAAGATGTTATTATTGAAACAGTTTGATATGTCATCACAGTATAAGAACCATATAATCTTATATAAGAAACCTTGAGAATCGGGTTCTTACAGGGGAAAAAAAAGTAGGTCTACTATAAAATCCACATAAAGTTAATCAAGAACTTAAATTAGGTTTTTTCGTTAAATCAAAATATAGAAAAGTTATTAAATCTTACATGGTAAGGAGAGACTCATAGAAAGTACATATATATAAAAACTCAAGATGGATTCTCATTGGGGATATTTTTTATGCGTGGGATATTTTTAAAGCCAAGCTTTAGCTTGGGGGAGAATTAGAATATGTGCAAATATGTAATATTATCTAGATCAAATTCTTAAGATAGGTTATCATATTTATTTATCACATGATATGTTTCGTGTACCATTAAAATTATAAATAATATAAATAAGAATTAGAGCTTAAGTTTTTATGAACACCAGCACAATTTTATGCATCAATACTCAATAGAATCTCATTCAAAGTCTTTTTCACTTAATCTCCTCTAACTTATGACCCCACACACACATATATATAGAGAGAGGGGTTATAATTACACCGGTGTAACTTTTACTAAGTATTACACCACTCAATAACTTTATATTAATTGTGAATTTTGTAAATCTAATCGTTAGATTGAAAGTTTATATCACTTTATACGTGTATATCAAATTTTGTTAAAATTGAACAACAACTTGAAGGTAATCAAAGTGTTCATATTTTAGTGTATTTTGAAATGAATATATTACGTCAATTTTGTTTTATAAAAATGAAGTATCAAATCATCTTGGATTAATATAAAATTTTGTATATATTATCTAAGAGATATAAACTTTCAATCTAACAGTTGGATTTACCAAATTCACATTTAATATAAAGTTATTGAGCGGTGTAATACTTAGTAAAAGTTACACC